CTCACATATTTGCAATGATTTGCAGATGATGGCAAGAAGTAACAAGCTAGAAGATGATGAAACAATCCTAAGGATGGGCAATGGGGCAAGAGTTGTTGTCAAAGCAATTGGGACTGTTTATCTAGCTTTAAATAATGGTGTACAAATTTGTCTTACAAATTGTTTGTATGTTCCGGATGTTATAAGAAACATAATTTCTATTCCATTAATGGATAAAGAAGGTTTTAAGTTCGTAATTGAGAATGGAAGATGTTCCACTTTCAAAGATACAACTTTTATATATTCCAGAAATTTGACAAATGGTTTATATACCATTACACCACAAAGTCCCATCTTAACCATTCAACAAAATAAAAGAAAATTAGATAATCATAGTTCATTCACAATTTGGCATGCTAGATTAGGTCATATATCTGAAAAGAGGATTCACAAAATAGGACCAAAACTCGACCTTAGGGGAGAGGAAAGGTTGCCTACATGTGAATCATGTCTTAAAGGTAAAATGACAAAATCACCATTTGTTGGACAAGTGGAGCGAGCTAAAGGTCTGTTGGATTTGATCCATACAGATGTTTGTGGACCACTAAATGTTAGTGTCAAGGGGAACTACCACTACTTTATAACATTTACTGATGATTATTCACGGTATGGTTATGTATACCTATTAAGGTACAAATCTGAAGTATTTGAAAAGTTCAAAGAATTCAGAAGTGAAGTGGAGAAACAAATTGGTCGTAGTATTAAAGTTCTTCGATCGGATCGAGGAGGTGAATATTTGACCAATGAGTTTCTTGATTATTTACGAGATAATGGGATTATTTCACAGTGGACACCTCCTGGAACTCCACAACTCAATGGGGTTTCAGAAAGGAGGAATCGAACATTGATGGACATGGTTCGATCGATGATGAGTTCCACTAGTTTACCTCTTTCATTCTGGGGCTATGCCTTAGAAACAGCAGCATATATTTTGAATAGAGTGCCGAGTAAAGCTGTACCCAACACACCTTATGAGATGTGGTGTGGAAAAACACCTTCATACAAATATATGAAAGTATGGGGTTGTGCTGCTTACGTGAAGCAGCAAGTGGGAGATAAGTTGGATATGAGATCCATCTTATGTAAATTTGTGGGGTATCCAAAAGAGTCTATTGGATACTATTTCTATGACCCCTCTGAACAAAAGGTGTTTGTTTCGAGGAATGTTGTATTCTTGGAGGAAGAGTTTCTCTCAAAGAATAGTGGAGTCATAGAACTTAATGAAGAACCACAAGAAATTCCACAAAGTACCACAAATAACATACCAGTAGAGACTGGACCATCTGAAACACAACCTCTTCGGAGATCCGAAAGGGTTTCTAGGGCGCCTGAAAGGTTATACCTATTGTTAGAGAACAATGAAGAGGGACTCCTTTTGGATAATGATCCAATAAGCTATGATGAGGCAATGTCGGACATTGACTCAGATAAATGGCAAGAAGCTATGCAATCCGAAATAGAATCCATGTATTCAAACAAGGTATGGACCTTGGTTGACCCACCACAGGGTATTGTACTTATAGGTTGTAAATGGGTTTACAAGCGAAAACGTGGTGTAGATGGAGAAGTAAATACTTTCAAAGCAAGACTGGTTGCTAAAGGTTATACTCAAAAACAAGGAATTGATTATGAGGAAACTTTTTCACCAGTAGCAATGCTTAAATCTATTCGGATATTGCTAGCCATAGCTGCGTATTATGACTACGAGATATGGCAAATAGATGTGAAAACTGCTTTTCTTAATGGAAACATTAAGGAAGACATTTATATGAAACAACCGCAGGGTTTCATATCCAGTGGGAGCGAACAAATGGTTTGTAGCTTCAAAGGTCCATTTATGGACTTAAACAAGCTTCGAGGAGTTGGAACATCCGGTTTGATGAAACGATCAAAACGTTTGATTTTCATAAGAATACGGATGAACCATGTGTTTATAAGAAGGTTAGTGGGAATGCAGTTGCATTTGTTGTTCTTTATGTTGATGACATCCTACTCATTGGGAATGATGTAGGGATGTTGCAGTCAACAAGGACATGGTTGTCTAAACAGTTTTCCATGAAAGACTTGGGAGAAGCATCCTTTATCCTAGGGATAAAAATCTATAGAGATAGATTTAAAAGGATGATCGGACTATCTCAGTCTATGTACATAAATAAGGTGCTAAAACGGTTTAGCATGGAAGAATCCAAACGTGGATATATTCCAATGAGTCATGGGGTTTCACTTTCTAAGACGATATCTCCAAAGACACCTGAAGAAAGAGAACGGATGAGTCATATACCTTATGCATCAGCTATTAGTAGCATTATGTATGTAATGTTATGTACAAGACCTGATGTGGCTCATGCACTTAGTGTAACGACCAGATATCAGTCTAATCCAGGTGAAGAACACTGGAAAGCAGTTAAGATGATTCTTAAGTACTTACGAAGGACTAAGGATATCTTTATGGTATACGGCAATGGAGAACTGAAACTAGAAAGCATTACTGATTCTGGTTTTCAGTCCGATAAAGACGACTATAAATCCATGTCTGGATACTTATTCACTCTGAATGGAGCGGCAGTGAGTTGGAAAAGTTCCAAACAAGAAACGATTGTTGACTCTACGACAGAGGCTGAATATATTGTTGCATCTGTTGCTGCAAAGGAAGCTGTTTGGATAAGGAACTTCATCCAAGGGTTGGGTGTAGTACCATCTGTTGTTGATCCAATAATGATTTATTGTGATAACAATGGGGATATTGCACAAGCAAAGGAGCCAAGATCTCATCAAAGATCCAAACACATTATGAGACGATACCATTTGATTAGAGAAATCATTGGTAGAGGCGACGTCGTAATGGAGCGAGTCGACTCAGCAGAAAATATAACAGACCCCTTAACTAAGCCTTTATCACAGAAAGTGTTCGAAAGACATCTTGAGAAGATGGGTCTAAGATACATGAATGATTGGAACTACGGCAAGTGGGAGATTGTTAGAGTAGGATACCCGGCGTTCCAATCAGATTGGACGTATTCTACTTGTAAATACAATCTATTAGAATTATATTAATTAAAAGGCATTACTTTATTTTAAGAGTAAGCATTTATCCTATATTTGCACTTAAGATAAAATCCTTAGATCACATATAGTTATAAGGTATGGTTGCGCATAGAGATGGTGATCATGGAACATACCTTGAAAGTTGTGATCTTAAACACAGTTCCAAGTCGTTGGATGTTTCGAGATGGGATATCGAATAAATCCGAAAAAGACTTGCACATATGATGTATACTTGTTGGACAAGAATGTTGCATTCCATCAACATTAGCGTGGGACGCAAATACATATATGTGGGTGCTTGTTAGAGAACAAGTTCACTGAACATGACCATATGAAAATTCTTAATGAAAGTTTATCATGTCGAATAAGAATTTTCATGTTACAATAGTACATGACTAATCCTTAGACTTGAGGCACGATGGTAACTTTGTGCATATTACATTTTACTTTGATTTATCCTTTTGGTTGCTAGCACAATCGTATAAAGGGATATTTTGGGTATTATATTAATATGTATGGAAGTTTGTCAGTGGCCAACAAAGGATTCGACACTTATGAAGATAAGTGAATTTCCTATGTGTTTCATAGTTAGTAATTCAAAGTCCTTGGCCAAGGCAGGATGAATAGAGATTCATACACGAATTACTAAACTTGAAATAGAATCATAGTTATTAAATCAATTTGCGTTTCGACAAAATCATACCCAAGATTTAATCGGGAAATTGGATGTCGAAAGGATTTTACATGTATGGACTTGTAATTGAAATAGATTTACTCGCTATTCACTTAATACTAGATTCATGCTACTTGCTAGATGTTATCATGATATGTGGGTTCTTGAATTAAGGAGTTAATTCATGAATAAGAGTTAATTTGATTAACTCAAATTACAAAGAGTTGTAAGCCCACTACTAGTATTAATTGTGAACCTAAAAGGTCACACCTAAATTTGAATGAAGGTAAAATTCAAATAGTAATTTTAAAGAGTTAGAATTAATTGACAAATCTAATTTGATTAGATGTCAATTAAAGGAATATATTAAATTAATCAATTGGATTGATTAATTGAATTTTGGATATTAATTTAGTAATTAATGGAATTACTAATTAATAGTTGGAATTTAAAATTGAATTTTAAATTTCAAATCCAAATAATAATAAGATTATTAAATGAGGAAATGAAAGAAAAGATTAAAATAATAAAGTCTTGAAAGATGCTTTCAAGAATTATTATTTTATTATTTTATCTTTAATATGATTAAAGATTAAATATTAATAAGAATAAATTAATTATGGCGGTCTAGAGTTGTTAACCACTTCACATAATTAATCTTATTTTTATTAATAGAATATTGGGTGGAGAATAGTCTTATTCAAGACTTAATATTTTATGAAAATATTCTACCATATATTATTATTTTATACTAAAATGTTTAGTATAAATATGGACATATTTGATGTTCAAATTTGCTAAGTTCTTCCAAGAGATTAAGAGTTGAGCTAAAAATAACATTCAAGTGTTGAGTGATAAAACAAGAAAGAGTTCTTGTAAAATTTCCTCATATATATTTATATTCCATACTTATTGAAAAACCGAGTAGTTTCTACTAGCGAAGAAACTATTGTCGGAACCGGATTTCAAAAGGTGGATACTCTTAGAGGGAAGACATTTGGATTCCTAAAGCGAGTAACATCAAGGAGTGGACGTTACCAAACCGGGAATTGATTTCCTCATACATCCTCGTTTTTTAAGGAGTTCAAGAATAAAGGTAAATTTTGAATTTACTTACAACAAATCAAAATTTGTATTATTACATGTTTTTAAATGATGACGATCTATGCAATCGCTATATGTACGTATGGGTTGATTATTTATACGATAAATACTTGTTTTTGAAACATAATTTTCCGCTGCTTATAACCCGTATGGTACAGACGAACCCAACAGTTTCTAGCAGGAAGTTGCCTATGGAAACCATTACTATTAACCCTAGCTCTGTTGTAATAATGTTCGACTTGTCCAGACCCACGACCCAAAAGACTTTGCCCTCCTATTTCATAAACCACAACCAGCCATCAATAATATAATCACCATCAATTTCGAAGAGAATTAAGTTTGAAGCAAAAACACAAAGTGAAGAAAACTATTTAATTTCTAAGTAAAGAAATGAACATTTACAGTACGAACATAACCGGCTGGCTGAAATCACGTAAGTTCAGTAAAAAATTAAAGAAAGCAAAAGGTGAGAGACACTTGGACCCGTAATATATGGAAAAGACTGATCTTGAGTATTTATACACCAAAACTGATCTTAGTTAAAAGGTGACATTAGACTATAAACAGCCAAACCTTGATAGCATTCTGCACTCCTGAGATATCTTCAAATTCGACAAAAGCATAGCATACATCTATGTCCTGCAGAAAATTTAATATATATAGAATGTCAGAAGATTAGCTAAAGAAGAAACATCAATGTACAAAGAGAACCAAAAAAACATAAAGAGCAGAAAAAAGACCTTTCGGGTCCATATGGCCACACCATCAGGCCTGAGTTTACCAAATTTCTTGAATGCTTCCCTTATTTCAGAAGAAGCCATTGTCGTTCGGACGTTTCTTACATAAACTGACTTGATCTCAACTGCAGAAAACACAAGAATAATAGCGTGAGTATAACAGTGCGTGCATGTCAAATTCCTATTATATGTGCGAGGAAAGGATTCTGTTGTCAAATCTTTACAAGCAAAAGGAGTCTAATTGTCCGAATCACGGAAAAATAGATGAACATAAGAACCAACTGACGACTGACACTTGAAAGGCAATACTTCGCGGTAGGTTATTCACAGATCAATCATCATTCCATGGACATTGGATGAATTTAAAATTGTTAATCATATCTCAAAATTAAAATATTAAATCTTAATTTCATCAAGGGAATAATCTTTTTTTCTCATCAGCCTAAGAGAAAACTAAAGCATCACAACTGTCTTCCCCGCTCACATCTACGACAAGCTACATAAGATTCGATCAACATGCTAATTGGTTTTTTTTCTGCATTTTACAAATAAATCAAAATATCAAGAAAAGAAATGTAGTGAATTCGTTTATAGAACAATTAATTAGATAGAAAACGAGGCTGAAGGTGCAAACAAACTTTGATATCTATCCCCGAATAATCAAGCGACATGATAAGTTGGTGTATTTGCTGCAAAGATTTACAAGAAGACAAAAACGAAGACTGTCAGATTTCATTTTCCACTGTTTCAAGCAACAAAATAAAATTGCATGCATTAGCATTAAGCAAGAATGCAAATGTGTGAATTTATATGCAACTTGAGGTAACCAATTTGGTAAATTCACCGAGATGAAGCTTAATTAGGTTCTCATCAGTGATACATACAGATGGATGCAAGACAATTTGATATTTCAACAGGACACTGCTCAGGCACAAGTATAGAAAATCCAATGTATATTAATGCACTACATTTGCATACAAAGATCCACCTTTAGAAACTAATAATTGAAAGGAGATGCCTAAGACAAACAGTTACAGAGAAAAATGGGAAGGTTATGATTTTGACATCAAGTAAAATGAATTGTGTGATAAGGTTTTCCTCTTTGTGTTTCGTATTTCTTCCATGCGAGGAAAAGAATTCACCATCATAAAGGATACATTCAAGAAGAGACCAATTCAAGTAAGTTAACACTGTGTTTTTAGGATCGTTTTTCAGATACTGCAAAAAAAATTAAATGTGAAAAAAAAAAAAAAAANAAAAAAAAAAAAAAAATACAACACATAATATACACCATCAGTCACGTTGTTGTCGTGGTCCACTCCTTTTGTCACTGATGCAAATACCAAAAATTAACGAATCTATTGAGATCTTAGATTCTGCAGTGGATAGTCAAACACCACAAAAGCTCGACGTTACTGGTGATGGTGAAGGTGTACTGGTGCAGCAACAGGGCTAAGAGAAGAAGGATATTGGGCGAGAATAAATTGAAAAATTCATAAACTATAAATTGGAATATATGAGAAATGAAGAGGATATTGGGCGACTTGGAGGAGTGTCGACACCGGTTTTAGGAAATCTATGTTCAGAAGCTCAGAAACAAGGTTTATTTGGCGTGGTTGCGGTTGAAGAAAGACGAAAGAGAGAAGGAAATTTGATATGCAAACCTTAGTGGGCTTTGGTGAGATATTCGGTTTGGTTGATCTTTCAAAATCCAAGGTTGGGCCCGTTAGTAAATTGGTTCATTTCTGGCTAAAATTTAATCTCGGGCCTGGTCATTCTTTTGAGGTTTTGGGCTTATCAATTTTGTGAGTTTAGGCATGAGGAAATTACACCCCATACTAACTCATTTAAAATATATAACACTTTTATACTCCTTAAAGTCTTATTTTTAAAATTACCTAAAAAGGCTTAAAATATTTTCAGTTATACTTAAATACAATAAAACCGTTATAAACTTTTTTCTTAATGGTAATTAGATATTTAAGTGAGATTAAATATTCACTTACCTAAAAAAGAGGAAATAAAAGATAAATTCATTATCCCAAAAAGCCACCCACCGCCCCACGTCTCCCTCATTCTGCACACTGCTCAATTTTTTCGCCCAATTCAAGTGTCAATGGCGAAAACTAAAATCCCTCATTCTCATCGAAAAAATCCGATAAATGGTGGCGACGACTCACCACTGATTAGATCTAGTGCCCGGCTTCCCTCAAGTTTTCCGGCAAGTCAAGAATGAACCCTATATCTAGCCGCAAGTTTTCCGAGTCGAGAATGAAGAACCCTATTTCATCTCTGGGTTCAGACGAATTCCAGTCAGACTCAAATATACCGGAAAAGTCTCGGCGAACTCGTAAATTGGAGAAGCCCAAATACACCGACAAAGATTTGAACGAGGAAGACCCTGATTTCGAGTATGAAACCCAACCCGAAGAAACCGGTAGCGAAGAAGATTTGGAAGAAGAAGACTCCCCGGTTGAATTCAAGTATATAATTAGTATAATTCAAGTATATGTGGGATAAGTTTATTATGTGTTTGTATTTTTTATGTAATTCTAACAATTATATGTGTGGACTGTATGTTAGTAATATTTAAGTTTATTTACTGGTACATATATCATACTGTCATTGTGTTTGCAGTCAAGTAGAGTTTTGTCTAAAATTGTGTTTTGTGGTTGTTCACTACACGTGTAGTATATTTTCGGTATATTCAAGGCATATTGCAATGCTCAGTATATTTGTAGTACAGATTTCTAGTATATGCAAGGTTTATTTGCATGATAATTAAGTTAATTCTGCAACTATTTGTCATACCATTTGTTTTTTAATTGCAGTGCATCTTTTTTAGTATAATTCAAGTATATTGAACAGCACACATGTTTAGTTCAATGATAGTTTAATATAAAAATTATGTTGGCAATTCTAATCTAATGAGAAAAAAGGAGAGGACAATGTTATAGAATAATTATTAGTTCGTGGATTAAAAAAAAATGTTTAGATAGCATTCAATTGCAGTAACTATTGGTGGTGTAGCCGAATAAATTACTTGATGATTTTAAATCATTGATTGATGATTTCTGTGAATTGAATAAATTGCTTGCGGCGTGATGTCATGTACTGTGAGAGCCATATTCATGAAAAGATTTTTTTTTTTTAGTAACATACTGAAATCATGCGAAAAAAAGGGGATGAGATCCGTCCTTTTAGGTAACTGAATAGGCTTTAATGCAGTAAATGATAGAGAATTAGGTAGAATTACAATTATTTGTTTATGATTAGTATTATTGTAATATTTTCAATTTCGTGTAGGAGATATAAAAATTTCTCTTTAGGCATTGGGATAATAGGTGTGATGTTTTATTAGAAAAATGTTGGGTTGTCACAATTGGTTTGGAGCTCTAACCATTTAGTATGAAATTTAATAGGCTTCATAACTTGGGTCGTACAAGTTCTTTTCATGCGCTTCACGGAATGCCGAACTTTTGGATCCAATACTTACATTTTCAACATATGAGTCCCTGTGACGAGACTCTTTCGAGGAGGTATTTTCATGTATCCGATATATGGAGAATTGACTTTTATTAGGAAGTTATACTATACAAAAATTCTATGGAGTCATCGGATGGTTTTCTTATGGAACTATCCACCACTTAATGTATTGGCACCTGTCCATAGTGTATTTATTACAGGACATGTGTCAATACACGATTGATGAATAAGTGTGGATGACTCCATAATCCGAGCCATCCGATGACTCCATAGCAAAATTGTTATACTATATTAGTATTTTATCTACTTATTTTGTATTAGTGTTATTATAATTGTATTGTATGAATTGAGCTATGTTTAGATTGATTTATGATTTTTTGGTATTTTTCTGTAAAAAAGAGATGAAGAAGGAAGGCGATGAAGATGATTGAAAGATAGAGTAGAGCGATAAATACGAGAGAGTGAAGAGAGATAGAGAGGTAATTTGTGTAACTGATTGCTCCTTCTCCAAGCACAAACTTAGCCTTATAAAGCATTTACATGTGGGTTCCATAATATTCCCTTCTTGTTAAACCTATACTAATTAGAGAAAAATAATAAAATAATAACAATAACAATAACAACACTTAACGGGCTACTTAAATGGTTCAACCCACGACTCAAAAGTCATCTCAATTGGGTCTATACTTCCCTTTTTCTTCAAGTATTAACCAATTCTCAAGGCTCCATCCAAGCCCAAGTCTCTCCATATATCGAATACATGACAATACTCCCTTCTCGAAAGACTCTCGTCTCCGAGACTCATACGTAAAAAATGCAACTTTTGCCAAAATCCTTGACATCGATTATAGAGCATTAAAAGAACTTGAATAGGCCAAGCTATGAAGCCTGTTAAATAACCAGCTCCAAATTGATTAGGCCCAAATCCCACTTGAATGAAATTCTTAATTGGCCCAAGAAAAATGAAAAAACCATCCATCCTTTGTCATTAGAAAGGCATGCGACTTGCTAAAAATTACCAAGGCCCGATGTGTGCCAATGCTAGCCAACTTATACTTGTGCATATTGGTCCCAATTTTTTTAGGACATTACTATTCATCGCCCCCGTAGACAGTTTTGCCTTTGGCATTTTTTTTCAAAAAGTAAAAAAAAAAAAAACTTGTCCGGCCGCTGAAACCGGACGGCCCAAATGGCGTCCGGCCGGTCGGACCGGACACGACCGTGTCCGTAAGCGATTTACGGCCGTACGGACCGGTTTTTGGGCCGGCCGGACGACCGTTGGTTGTCCGGCCCCGAAGGCCGGTCATGACCGGTCCGACCGGCCGGACACCTTCTTTTTTTTTTTTTTGAAAATAATATTATTATAAATTATTATGTTATATATTCAAAATAATTTGTTATAAATTGGACGTTAGAATAAAAAAATCATTCAACTGAAGTTTAAGAAATAAAAAAAAATATCATTTAACTGAAGTTTAGGAAATCTATTACTATATAATACAGTTAAGAAAGAATCGAAAAAAATAATTCATTTTCCGGTTCAAATGTTTATTTTTTCCCTAAAATTTTATTTGAAATATTTGGCTAATGTGAATATTGGTATATCCCGCCCATGAAATTTGGTTTTGCGGATTAATTTCTCACGTGATTCCTAAAATCATGAGTTAATTCCATTTCTAGTTCTTTAATTTGATTTAAATTTGGAAGCGATTTTTATATATCATGTCAATCCTAAAATCGTAGGTAGAATTTCGTTGGTGTAGAAAAAACAATTGGACGAATGTTTAAGTTGTATGTAAAATTTCTTAACATCTTTAACATTGATAAAAAAACTAAGATATATGTCAAAAAATGTTAAATACAATTAAATTTATCTATTCTTTTTTTTTTAAAAAACACCTACAGTTTTATATGCTATTTATTAAAAAATGTCTAAAAACATCTATAATAATTTAGCTAATTTTCATTAATATAAGTTGCAAGATCATTTTTAAAATTAAAAGATTTACATATTATGAAACAAATCGTTCTT